TAAAAAAAAAAAAAAAAAAAAAAAAAAAGAAATCAATGCTTGGGACTAATAGTTTGGTCTCGCTACAGCGAAACAGACTCTTTACCATCAGGTTTGAGGACAACGGGTCTCAACCTTTTTAGGCTGGAAAATGTCAGCTCTTAGTTTCCACTCCATTTTTAACTCCAGAAAGAAAACAGAGCAATTCTTGTGCTGCAAATATCTCAGGAAGCCCGTGAGAGGGACGGGCGGCTTTTAAACGCTGTGAAGTCTCCGGGTTTACCTTGCGAGGCACGCTCATGCACCGAACCGCGCCAACGCTGTGTGGCATCCTGTGGCACCCTCGAAAGGATCTCAAGCCACCCCGGGGTGCAGCAGCAGCGTACAAATATAAGAATTGCATTTACTGAGTCGGACCGTAAGCCCATCCAGCCCGGTGCACTGCGTCGCACGGGGACAGAGAGCGGATGCTGGGAGAGAGCGCGAGCAGGATGCGACCACGGTTTATCTCCACCGTTCCTCTCTCCCTTGCAGCCTCCACCCTCAAAGGTCTCAAAAACTCGGACTCAGAGTCAGCGCCCCTCACTCCCGGGCTCAATGCTACAGACGCTCCTTTCTTCCACGAACACGTCCAAACCCTTTGGGGATCTGGCTAAACTCTCAGCAGCCCTTCACTGGAAACGACCCGCCGAGTGAAAAAAACTTCCTCAGGTCCACTTTTTCCAACCGCCCGCCTGCTGGTTTCACTGCGCGACCCCTAGTCCTCGCCCGGCGAGAGAGTTGATAATACGACCCCCGCCGACTTTTGCCTCGCCAGCTAGTCGCGCGTTAAACCCTCCCGACACAATCGCAGCTCTTTCTCGGGGCAGACCCAGGTCCACCCAGGTCCCCGGACCTGCGGCTCAGCCTCCTCCAGCCGGGTCGAGACTCGGGCTCCCCCGGACTAGGCTGGGGGGCCGTTCACGGCGCCGAGCAGAGTTTCACAGGGCAGCGCCCCGTCTCCTCAGGGGGCCAGCGGGCACCGTCGCCACCCACGACCCTCACCGCTTTGTACACCGAGGGTGTAGTCCAGCCCCTGCCCCCAACTACATCGCCCCGAGGGATCACCAATAGGCTCCTCTCTCCCCGCAGCCCCATCCCTACCATGCTGCAGAGACCCCACCCCGCCCGGCTGGGGGGTATGGGGCAGCCCCACCCCAGCCCGGCTTTAGCACGGGTGGAAGTGCCACCAGGTCCTCCGAGCACAAACTCCCTCCCCCCGCACTGCCCACACGGCGCTGCACTCACCCCGCGGCGCGCGGCCCCTTTAAGGCCCTCCAAGGCGGAGCAGAGCCACCCCTCTGCCGGCGCCGGCGCTGCGCCCGCTTTATATGGCCGCGGCGGTGCTATTAATAGCGCGGCTCGGCTGGGGGCGGGGCCGGGCGCGCTGCGGACCGCCCACAGGCGGGATTGCCCCCCCCCCGCCCGCAATGGGCTCGTGCCGCGCGCCCCTGGGGCGATTCCGGCGCGGACACACGTTCCTGCGCGTCTGATCCGGGCTGGGTCAGCGGGAGGCAACCCGGGACAAAGTTATCACGTGTCTTTTGTGCGGTGTAACTGATGCCTGGGTGTCTCCACCCAGCACGAGGCCAGGGCGGTGCTGCAAGCACCTTGGCGTGCCCCGGACCGGCTGGACGTCACCACGGACCGGCAAACTGCGGAGCAGCAGTGACACGCAGGCGGCCACCCCTTTCTTACGCAGGCTTCCAGCGTTTCAAGTTACGACGTTTCGCACTTGCGACATTTTTAAATTGATGCCCGGCTTCCACTTTCTGACAACTGGACGGCACTTGATGCGACGCCACGCCAGCGAACGAGTCGGCTGCGTCGCCCGTCTCCCTGTCCAAACTTCCCCGGGCGCTTTCTTTAAGAAAGCCGAGGAGGCTCCAGACAGACCTGCAGGCAGGACTCCCGAGACGCCTCCAGCCAAGAGCCCTTTGAAAAGTGCATCAAGAGCCTTTCAGAAAGTCCGGCAAGGTCACCTCAAAGAAGTCCTTCCAAATCAATACCATTGCTATTTACAATATAAATATATTCATGTAGCTATGTTACTCATCTATAATTGAGTCAGTACAAAATTCTGGGTTATTTTTGGTGAAAATAGGGTATCAGGAGCCAATCCCCCATTTATAACATTGTTTCACATGGGAAAATCAGTTCCGAGTTACATTTCGACTTAAGACGTGGCTTTCAGGAACCAATCGTGTCGGAGGACCGCCTGTACCGGATACTGTACCGAGTGCAGCTTGAGCAAAGGGCTGGCTGCCAGTCCGCAATACGCCGGTCACTTCCAGTCCGCAGTTTGCCGGACCGCGGTCACTTCCGGTCCAGCAGCCAGCCCTCCTGGAGACCGGCAGCTGACCCTTCGCAGCTGGGCACCAGGAGGTTGGAAACCCCTGACTTGAAGGGTGATGAAGCAGTTCGTCGCGTCGTAAGAGTCACGTGTGTCACAGGTGCAGGCTGTAGCCGTGTTGGCCTAAAGACACAGGCAAGGTTTTTTGGGCAAATGTGATACCGCTGTCCCTTCAACTGGATGTTGAGCATCTCGTGGAGGCTGTACTTCATGAAGTGGATGCGTGTTAAGTGTTTGAGTCTGCAGTGTGAACACGCCACACCTGGCAGTGCTGTGCTCAGGCTCACTGTGCTGCAGAAGCCTAACTTGAAGCCATGCTTCAGCATCCATGGGGCATTTGGGCAGGCTAATGGGGCCTGCCTGCAACCACCCTTCCCGGCTAATTAGCCAACCAGCAGCACTGAGCACCCGGTGCTACACCGCTTTAGGTTCAGGAAGGTGGCCTGGTTTCCACTTGATTTTTGACTACAGAAATGTAATAGAGCAATTCTGTTGTTGCAAAGAAGTCAAGCCCACAGGCAGTCAGCTTTTAACACTGTGGACTCCTGCTTGAAAACTGGGGATAGCCTGGAAATCCTGTTTGTGCGCCTAACGTTGTGTGACATCCTACAACGCCCCTGAAGTGTCTCGAGCCCCTTGGTTGAGAATTACTGGTGCAGACATTGCTGGGATGATGCAGGGAAGGTAATGCTCCCAACCCCTTCCCCTCCCAGATTAATATACCCCAGTGCTCCCCGGGTGGCTTAGCCGATATGGGGATCCACCGGGGTGTGTTGTACATGCACATAAGAGCTGGCCCACATCCAGTGTTTATTGTCTGGGCACACAGAGGAAGAAACCAACCATTACTGTCTCCATTTTACAGATGGGACCACTGCACCTGTCCCACCGAGCGAGAAGACGAGTCCAGATTTTTGTCACCCCCATCCTGTGCTTTTGACCACTCGACATTTCTCCACACGCAGGCCTGAGGCATGGATGACACGATGCAGCACTCACTCCTGCTGCAACAAGTTTGCACGCGTCCGCCCAAAAAATTAATGTAAAGGCAAGCAAAGCCCAGCCTGTCTGTCGCCTAAAGAAAATCACCCCTCCAAATGACCCAAGGCCTCCACTGATTTACAGCTGCTGGCAAAACGCCAATGTGGCTGTGCTCCAGCAGCGGCACTGCTGGCGGCTGCGAGTGGTGGGGACCTGCGCACAGCGCAGCCTGTTTTCCGCTGACACAGCCTCTTGCAGCGAGCTGCATGGCGCGGGCTGAAGGGGTGCGTGCACACGCCCTGGTGACATAACAGTGTCACCAGCAATAAACCGACAAAAGTTTTAACGATGAAATTTCCTAGCTTGGAAGCGGTCTGAACTCTCGTGCTACAAAATGCACACATCAGACCGGTTGCCTTGAGGGTATGCCAGCATCTGAAGCGCTCAAAGCACGTTGCAAACATTTAGCTCTGCAAAGGCAGAAAATGATGATCCCCCTTTAAGATGAGGAAACAACCGTACAAAGAGGGCAGGCCAACTCATGAATCCAGGCACCTGCATTCAGACGTCGGCACCGAGCAAAGCCTGACTGATGCTCAGGGTTGCTGAGGACTTGGGACCTTCGCAGACACTAGCTGTCTCTTTGCTCTGAAAATCTAGCTGCTTCGGTTTCACAGGTCAGTTTGAAAAGGTTGGCTTCAAATGACACACCAGCTAATGCAAGAGTCAAGAAATGCAAGTTCTTTCTTAACTCCTACGTGTTAGCTGCACTTCTGCTCAGAATATATACCTCCCTCGAGTCACATCACCCACATAAAGTAAAAATAAATGTAAGCAGGAAAATATGAAAACTGACAACTCTAACTTTCTTGAATTTCTGCCTAGAGCAGTAGCAGACTATTTATAAGAAATATCAGCTAAAGAATGGGATACAAAGAGATATTTTCAAAGACTGAATGACCCCTATTTTGAGTAAGCTCCAAAATCTGATTTATTCACGGTCAAATGAGCCTGAAGATGCTCTAGTCAACAACAAGCATTGTATTAATAAGGGAACCCCAATGCTCGCTCGCTCTCCAGCTAGTGGAGGCCTGGATAAAACTGGTCGAAATTTCACATTTTTTATAAAAAGTTGACTGCTGCAATACAATAACAAAAATGAAAGGAAAAGTTTGGAGGGCACTTTTTGTGAAATGTTTGTTTTCTCTCATTCACCCAGTTCTAACAATGGACTTTCATGGGGACATGGGGTGGATAAAAGTGGCAAGAAAATTTCATAGGTTGGGGGTTGCTTATCAAATGGATTTTCTATAGCCATGGGGTACATTATTTTCATAGCACATTCTTCCACTATTAGGACCATATGAATGTTGTTGTGAAGGATGTCCAGTGGCCCCGTATCTATCGGTGGCCACGTACAGACCTCAGTCTATTGCCCAAGCTAACTGTCTGCATGTAGTATCAGCAAGGTGTTTCGAATGTGGCTACAGGGCTTGGGGCTAGAGAGAGACTACAGAAAGCGTAACTTCTTGGACACCAGTTGCATCTAGCCTACTGCTCAGAGACTCATCAGCTCAGCTCACATAAACCACTCAACAGCTGTGACTGTTTCCCAGTCCTATTAAACTAGTGCCCGTACCATAGCTACTAATCACAATAACAAGAAACTGGAAAAAGTTTCACTATGAAAATGGCATTTTGGTTCTGAGTGGTTAATTGGATCAATTAAAAAAGTCACTTAAAAAACGCAGCAGTGGGCCAAACAGTGACATTTGCACTCACACAAAACTCCCACTGTCCTCATTCACTTGGGGACTGACTTTAGCCCCGTAGCCTTTTGAGGACTCCCAATGGGGCCATATAATAATGTGGGTCATATTGCGAAGTGTTAGCCCAAGATCACGTTTAGATTCTGCTTGATGTTCTGTCTGTTTAGTTATCAAGTAAGTCAGTCGATTTTCTAACTGGTGGAGAGACTCCTGGGTGTGTACACACATACTAACCTTTTGGTGATTAAGCTGATTTAACTTTTTTAAGTCAGCTTAATGGTCAGAGTGTACAGACATATGTGGAACAGAGTCCACTTAAATGCGACGCAAGATAAAACAGCTCCAAGGTATATTATCTTGAATCGTGTTTGTTAATATTGCCAAGTATCACAAGATGGCTGCTGTCATGTCAAGGGGTTTTACATGTGTACATGCTGATGTGGCTTAACTTAAGTTGACTTAGTTAAGTTGCCTTATAGGTGTGCATGCACCCCTATTGCCTAAGGCTTATTAAACTGGCATTACATCTTCTGTGTGTATGGGAGGGAGGGGAGGCGTTTGGGATTGCCTCTGAAGTGTGCTGCAGGTAGGTTAGTTATATAGTAAGATAGTCTTCTGCCCATTAGGACAGTGGGTAGTTTCTAGCCAGATAACTCCTTGCATGCTTTCGTTCCAGTCTCCACTGCAAGACAGAGTATTTTGGAAGAAGACAAAGGTGAGGCAGGGGTCATGACAGCATGTGATAGGGCTTAGTCCTTTATCAGCATCCTTCCCTTGGGGCCAGCTGGATTGTACAAAAAGAGGGAACTGTGGTGTATCTCCCCCCACCTCCGTACATGCAGCGCCCTGTGCCGAGCAGTGCTTTGCCCCAGTGGAGAATAAAGCCCAGCATTATTAAGCATGAGCTGCCTTGAGAATAGCACTAAGGAACAAAGCCCAGAGACATATCTGCCTTGACGTGACTGAGGAGCGCTTTGAAAACAACCTACGTTATTTTAATTGAAAGAAAAAGAAAGCGAAAGACTGAAATCGGCCACACCAGAATCTGCACCAAGTCAGTGAAATGGCTTGGCTGACGCCGTGAGCATTATCCGTGCAAAAAGAGTTTGCCTTCCAGCTAATAGATGGTCCCTTGTCCATAGCACGTAAGAGCTATCATTGTTTAGGTAGCATGGGAATGATGAAGCTGAGCTATAAAAAGGACAGCTTGAACGGTCTCATCTT